TCACTGTTGTACGTCGTGGAGCCCCGGGTCCTGTGCTACGTGTTCGGCAAGGTACCTGGGGAATCGTTGGTCCGTTTCGCCCTGCATGTCACCGCCGTCCTGGGTAAGTGTGGCGCCCCCTCCGCTGTCGCAGCGGGGTCGCCTTCCACTGACCAGCATCCTATTCGACGCCTACATGGACGCGTTCCCGGTGCCGCTTCGCGACGTCGCCCGTGCCATTTTGGCTGCCGTGAGCTCCGCCCCGCCCTGTGCTTGACGCTGCTCACCGTTGCGTTTAACTTGGCTTGTGGCACGGCCTGCCCCTGCTCGCACGGCTTTCGACTCGCTTCGCGCGCCCGCGCACCAAACAGCACCCCCGCCAGTCCATCCAGAAACGACGCGGAGGACGCGGATGGTGGTGCTCTTCTTTTGGGGCTCTCTTAGGACATCTGGAAGTCTTGTTTGGACCATCTTGGAGACCATCGATTAAAGGATGGGGGGGTCCCCAACTCAGCTCCCCCTTGAGGAGCCCGCAAACTGATTATTGGGGCTCTCTTGCGGCGCTCTTGGTTGTCGTGGGGCCGTTTTGGGCCCCGCTCGGGGCCCCCCTGGAACTCGCTTGAGGCCCCCTTCGGGGCCGTCGCTGGAGCTGTGGACGCCCTCTTGGGGCCATTTTGGAGGCCATCGATCAAAAGAGGGGGTTCCTGTACCTCCGCTCCCCTTCTGGAGCCCTCAAAGCCGTCTCTCGGGCCGTTCCTGAGGCCCTGTTGGGGCGTTATTGGTTTCTGGGACGTTTTTGGGAGCCTCTTGGGGCCTTCTCGGGCCAGCTTGGGGCCACTGAGGCTTCAGAAGCGCATCGGAAGCGAAACGGCAAGAAGGCAAACATCCTGAATCATCCATTGGTGTTTGAAGGACTTTGGGCTCTCGGAGGGGTCCTGAGAGGGGGGTCCGAGCGCACTTGGATCCGTCTTGTGGCCTTTGGAGGGTTTGCTGGAGACAAGTTGTTAGCTATATTGGGCCACGTTGGCCTATATTGACCGACTCGGGAGGCCATATTGGGTTCCACGGGGCCCTCTTGGGGCCATCCTGGACGCCCGAGCCCCTCGCGGCACGCCCCGTCCAGGTCCAGGGGGGAGGGGGTTGGGGGAGGGGTAACCCCTCCCCGAAGAGGAAACAGGGCGTTTTGGAGGAGAGCCACATCCCCTTAGACCACCTGTCGCCCAGAGGGCTGGTGGGATCTGGAAGGGAGAAGGGGAGGGTCATCGCGCGCCCCTTCTTTGCACCCTCGTCCCCCCCCCCTCTGCCCCCTCCCCCCCCCCTCCGTTCCGACCCCCCCCTCCCGCTGGCCGGTCTCTCCTTTTGGCCCCTTTTCTCTGTCCTGCCCGATCCCCTCCTGTCGGGGGAGCGTAAGCCTCGGGTAAGCCGGAACTCGGGTTTGCCGGCGTGTTTTGACGAGCGCGTCCTGGATTTTGACGGTCCAGCTTTCGTTGGACGTTTGCAGTGGGAGTTCGCGTCAAGTTTCAGACTGCCTCTCGTCACTTTTATGATGGACCCCGTCAGGCCAACCCGCGTCCCCCGTACCCGAGTCTTACGTCTCCCCGATCCTGGGTTGCCTCGGGGCTCCCGCGCGTCGACCGAGAGGGGAGGCTGGGACGGCGCCATCAAGCTGTGGGACTGAGCGGCGCCCGGCTTCTTCGGGCGCGCGGCTCCAGCGGCGCCACGGGAGGCGGTTGCCTACAGACACCGCCCCCTCCTCCATCTCCATATCCTCCTCCTCCTCCTCCTCCTCCTCCTCCTCCTCCTCCTCCTCCTCCTCCTCCTCCTCCTCCTCCTCCTCCTCCTCCTCCTCCCTCCTCCTCCTCCTCCTCTCCTCCTCTTTTTCCTCCTCCTCCTCCTCCTCCTCCTCCTCCCCTCCTCCTCCCCCTCCCCCTCCTCCTCCCTCCTCCTCCTCCTCTTCCTCCTCCTCCTCCTCCTCCTCCTCCTCCTCATCATCATCATCATCATCATCATCATCATCATGCGCCCCCCCCTCTCCTCCATTCACCCTCTCCGCCCTCCCGCTCAGCACTTGGTAGCAGCACTCACGGCGCCATGGAGGGTTGGTGGGATCCGTCCCTCGAGGGTTGCACTCGCCCACACCGCCCGACTTCACCCCACTTCCGCCCCAGAGCCTCGCTACCATGGCTGTCACATCTTGGAGCAGGATGGAGAAGGATGAGGGAGAGGGAAGAGGACGGGGGAAGAGGGCGAATGCGGAAAGAGCCCCAGTGGATCCCCCTCTAGTTGGAAAGGGAGGTTGTGCTCGCACAACCCCACACCTTCCCTCCTCATGGGGGGCTGTTTTTTTAGCCTCCCCTTCCACCCTTCCAAAGGGGGTGGGGGATTCGGACCCCCCCTTCCCCCCCATTTCTGCGGAAAGGGGGAAGAGGGAATTTCGGAGACCCCCTACCTCCCAACCTTTGCGCTGGATGCGCTGGACGCGCTGGAGAGGGTGGCCGGGGGATGGTCCCCCCCCCGCTCCTCCCCCCTTTGCGTCAGGGAAGGTGGGGGGGTCAGGGTCAGGGTGTTAAGGTGTGGGTGGTAGGGTCAGGATGTTAGGGTAAAAGTATTAGGAGAAGGGTGTTGGGGGTTAGGGTTAGGATTACGTCGTTAGGGTTCGGGTGTTGGCGTGTCAGGGTGAGGAGCCTCATATGACGGTAAGGTTGGGGAGTTCGGGTTTGTGTTAGGGTTAGGGTCAGGGTGTTCGGATCAGAGTGCGAAGGTACGGGTGGTGGGATTAGGGTTATGGCGGTAAGGTCAAAGGTAAGATGTTAAGTTTGTTGTGTTAGGGCTACGGTGTTAGGATAGGTAAGGGTGCCAGAGATAGGGGGTTATGGTAAGGGTGCTTCAGGGTTCGGGGTAAGGTCAGGGTGTTAGGGTTAGGGTGCTTGGTTCAGTATTAGGGTGTGAGGGTTAGGGTGTTAGGGTTAGAATGTCAGGTATAGGATTTGAGTGGTATTGGGATGTTGCGGTTCGGGTGTAGGATTATGGTTAGGGCAATCAGAGCAAGGGCAGGGAGGGTAGGGTGAAAATGATTGTTTGTTTCTAGGGTCAGGTGTTCGCACTAGGTTGTTTTAAGCTTAGGGTGTTAGGGTTAGGGTGTCGGGGTTAGGGTTGGTGTGTCAGGGTCACGATGTTCGGGTCAGAGTCATTGCTTTAGGGTGCGGTTGCTAAGGTTGGTTTGGGGCGGTATGGTTAGGAGCAGGGTGTTAGGTTGGTTGTGTCAGGGTGTTTGGGTTAGGGCTGTATGGTGTTAGGGTGTTAGGGTCACTGTGTTGGGGTTAGGGTGTCAGGTTTAGGGTGTACGACAAGGGTCAGGGTGCCAGAGTATTAGGGTGTTAGGGTTAGGGCGGTACGGTGTTAGGTTAGGTTGTTAGGGTTAGTGCCAGGTTATATTCAGTTTTAGGGTGTGAGGTGTTATTGTGTCAGGCTGAGGTCGGCGTTGTGTCAGGGTTGGGGTGTTATGGTTAGGATCAGTGTTTAGGGTTGGCGTGTCAGGTGTAGGGTGTTAGGATTCGGGCGAGAGGGGGGCTATTGTTCGGGTGTTAGGGTTGGGGGGTGCTATTGTTCAGGTCTTAGGGTTAAGATGGAAAAGTTAGGGTGGTAGGGTGGCGGGGGTTAGGGTTCTGGAGCCAAGGAGGCGGCGTGTCCAAAGGAGGGAGGGGGGTGAGGTCCGATTTTCGAATCCAGAGGGAGGGGGTCCCAACCGCCCCCCCCTTCGGAAAGGAGGTGGGGGAGGGGGTGCCCGACGGTGCTTCGGGAAAGCCGAAGGGGTTAGGGCGGGGGCGGGGTCCCCCGACGACGGGCTGGGAGAAGGGGCGGAGGGGAGGGGTCCCAGACTCCCCCCCTTGTGAGATCCGTGGCGCATCCTCTGAGGAGGAGGGGGATAGGAGGAGAGAGGAGGAGGAGGCGGAGGAGGAGAGGAGGGAGGAGGAGGAGAGAGGAGGAGGGTGAGGAGGAGGAGGAGGAGGAGAAGTAGGAGGAGGAGGAGGAGGAGGAGGAGGAGGAGGAGGAGGAGGAGGTAGGAGGAGGGAGGGGAGAGGAGGGGAGGAGGAGGAGGAGGAGGAGGAAGAGGGGGAGGAAAGGAGGGATGAGCGGAGGAGGAGGGAGTGGAGAGGAGGAGGGGAGGAGAGAGTGAGGAGGAGTAGGAGGAGGAGAGTGGAGGAGGAGGAGGAGGAGGAGGAGGAGGAGAGGAGGGAGAGGCGGAGGAGGGAGGAGGATGTGTGGCGAGGAGTAGGGGAGGGGGGAGCAGGAGAGCGGAAAGAGGGCCCAGAATTTCCCGTTCCCCCCCCCTGCCCCCACCCCCCGAGTGCCGCCGGCCGACCGCGAGCGCCGCTTGGCCGAGTCCTCATCCCCTCCCTCATCCTTCCTCCTCCCTCCTCCTCCTCCTCCTCCTCCTCCTCCTCCCTCCTCCTCCTCTCTCCTCCTCCGCCTCCTCCGTAGCCATTTTGGCTCAAGCCGTTTCTGCGGGCGGGCGCCGCGGGGCCCGCGCCATAGCCCCCGCGCCGGCCGCCCGCTGCTTGCGGGCGCCTGCACATCGTGGCGCCGAGGGCCCGCTTGCGCAGCATTGCGTGGCACCGACGGGCTCGCCGCTTGAGATCTCGTGCGAGGTTCGCGCTGCGCCTGGCCGCGGCCCGCGCCAGGCTTGCTGGGCACCACGGCGACCGTGGGAGCAGCCTTGGTATGGCCCAGCAGCAGCCCAGGCAGGGCGCGGCCTTGCCCCAGCAGCCAAACTGGGCGTGCGCCGCATCGAGGCTGTGCGGGTTCCGCACGAACTTCCCCACCCGTGAGACGTGCTGGAAGTGTGGCAGGGACCGCCTCGGACGCATGGTCCGCGAGTCGCCCGCTTCCTCGGAGCAGGGCGGGAGGTCGGCCTCCGCGGGCCGTCGCCGCCGCTCTGGCCCTCCTGCTCGCGGTCGTGGTGGTCCTCCAGATGGCGCTGCTCACGGAGAACCTGCTGGGCCTGCAGTCGTGCGCGCCAGGCAAGGCCTGGCTGCTCTGCAGAAGCTCGGCTACGCCGAAGAGCCGCTCATCCAGGCAGCGCGACAGGAGCTCGCCTCCCAGGAGGCAGAGGAGCGCCGTGCTCAGCCCCCCGAGCAGCTCCTGGTCTCCCTCCAGAAGCGCGTGGAGGAGGCACGCGCTCGGGCCTTCCAGGTGGCGGACAGCCTCGTGGAGGCTCTTGCGAAGGTCGACGACCTCCGCAGGCAGCAGGGCGTGGCCGACGCGGAGGTCAAGAACCTGGAGGCGGAGGTTCAGGCTGCTCAGCGCGCCGTGGCGGCCTCGGCGGCGAGCTCCAGCGGCGTGGACTTGGCAGCCCTCGCCTCCACGCTGGTCGGCCTCCAGGCCACGCTCGCCAGTGCCCCCGCGCGCGTCGCCAGTGGGCAGGGCATCAATGTCTTGGAGGCGATCGGGCAGCAGGTTGCAGCGCTTGGCACAGCGTTCCCCGCCGCCTCGGCCCTCACGGCCTCAGGAGCCGCGGCCGCCCCCGCCTCCGCTGGAGCAGGAGCCTCAGCGGACTCCTCGCCAGCAGCCGCTGCTCCCCCCGCGGCTGCGCTGCCTCCTGGTGTTGCCTACGCGTTTCGCGCAGGCGGGGGAACCGCCGCTGCCGCCTGGGAAGCCGCAGGCGAGGCCGACATGGAAGGCTAGGCACCGTGGGCGTCGAGGCAGCGCCCGCGCGAAGGCCTCGCTCGTCACCTACAACGGCTCGTCCTGGGCTTCGTGCAGGGGGGTTTTGACCCACTGCGACCTTGGCATCCAGGTGGTGGCGGCTCAGGAGCTGCGCATCGATGGTGACGATCGTCGGCGCGCTGAAGGCTTGGCGGCTCGGTCTGGATGGTATGTTATTATCTCGTCGTGTCGACGCCTGGAGTCTGGGCGGCCTTCTGCTGGCGTTGGTCTTTTCATTCGGCGTCACATCAGCGTGACGATGCTGCCAGGCATGCCAGGCTTGCGAGGTTTTGACCTGAATCCGAGTTTCTGCGTGGCATGTCATGCGGACTTCGGCATCAGAGGCGGGCTCGTGTTATTGTCCTGCTACTTTGAAGTGGGGCGATGGACCGACGTGAATGTGATGCGGCTTTACGACATAGCTACTGCACTGCGTGGTTGGAACAGGCCGTTTTTGATGGCGGGGGATTTTAACTGCGATCCGAAGCACCTCATGGAGTACGGTTTCTTGGACTTCATCCCTGCTGCAGTGGTCGCGAGGCCCCCTGTTCCTACAGGGCGCCTCCCTGCGGGCACGTGCCGCAGCGCTCAGGGAGCCTACTCGACCATCGACTACTGGCTGGCCAGCTTGTCCATCGCGAGCTCGCTGACGCCGCCCCTGCCTGTGGGTGGCTGGCCTGCGCCGCCGCATTTCCCGATGATGACGCCCCTCGACGCGCGGGCCAAGGCGGTCAAGTTCTTCGCCCTGCGGGCGCCGAAGGCTTTCCCGAAGGCGGCCCCGACCGAGGATGTCACACCTGTGTTGGCGGGTGGCACCCGCGATCTCATCGAGGATGGTGTGGCACAGGGAGGAGTTGCGAATCCTGTTCAGGCTCAGGCGCGGCTCGATCACCTGTACGCCGAGTTTGCGAATCTCGTGGAGGAGGAGCTGCTAGTGCGCTACGGCATCCCTGCGTGCGACGCTACTCGCTACTGCGGCCGTGCTGATGGGGTGGCCTACTGCTGGCGCCAAGCTGGAGGAGCGCCCGCAGCTGCGAGACCTGCCGCACCTCCCGACGCTCGACGTGCTCGGCGCCTGGCTCAGGCTGCGGACGACGCGCTTCGTGCAGGTCTGCAACCCCTGGATTTACTTCGGCGCTTGGACAGGCTTGTCTCTCTGGGCGCCGAAAGGTCTTTTCGCTCGCTCGAGTGCCAGCACGTGGTGGCCACGCTGCGAGGCATCCTGCCCCTGGCACGAGAGGTCGTTGAAGCGTCCCCCACCGCATTCCAGGTGCAGTTGGATCGAGCGGCCCTGTTGCAGTCAGGTGACCACGCTGGGTTTTCTCTTGCTGGTCTCATGGGAATTGGTCTCACTGGCATTCAGCGCATACTGGTGGATTCTGTCTGCTTTGTCATTGGTTGGCTTCGCTCTTTCGCTGACGACCTGGAGCAGGCGGCTATGGCCGAGCGCAGGCGGGACTTTGCACGGTGGGCTGCCAACTGTCGCGGGTCACGGATCAAGCCGCTGTTCAGTTTCACAAGGCCGCCTGGTGCTCCGCATGCCCAAGTGGTTCGGCATCAGAGGCCCTCCACCTTGGCTCAGGATGTTGCAGATGATCAAATGGATGGTTGGTCGGGCATCTGGAACGCACGCCCTGCGTCCGAGATCCTCACCCGTGATCAAGTGCAAGGAGCGGCTGCTGGGCCCGATGATTATGTGGTTCGGCATCTTGCGGACTTCCCTGACACGGCTCAGCTCTTTGAGGATATTCGACGCTTGCCGCGCGCCTCTTTGCCTGCGCCTAAGATTGGGCAGTTGCGTGCGGCGGCCAAGCCCTTCAAGTGGCACACGGGGCAAGGTGCTGACCGACTTGCTCCTCGCTCCTTCAGCCTTCTCACGGACGAGACCCTTTCGTTGCTCGTGTATGTACTTTGGCTGGCGGAGCACTGGGAGCGCTGGCCAACGCAGCTGGCCGCCGTCCACATTGTGCTCTTGGCGAAGCCCAAAGGTGGATGGCGGCCCATCGCGCTCTTGCAGGCGACCTACCGTGTGTGGTCGCAGGTCCGCAGCGGGCAGCTGCGGGTTTGGCTGCTGGAGCACGACAGGCCGTTTTTCGCCCTGGCCTCTGGCAAGACCACTCTGGACGTGGCCTCGCGTGCCCTTGTGAGGGCCGAAGCTGCACTGGCGGTCGAGGATGGCGTCGTGACGGCCACTGTTGATGTCGAGAAGTGCTTCGACCGCATCTGTTGGCGGAGGCTGATCTCAGCGGCGGCCCAGCACGGCTTCCCGCGCCAGTTGCTTTCCTGTGCGCTGGCGATGTATCGTGCGCCTCGCAGGCTCGTGTGGCAGCAGGCTACGTCATATGCTGTTACGGTGTCTCAGGGCGTTCTTCCAGTCTGCAAGTTCGCGATGGCCTTTGTGCAGCTGCTGATGCTCGCGTCAATGGATAACTTTGTCAGCACGGTCGGTCTCGGCTTTCCTGCTCAGCTGGGTTTTCCTTTTTCTTTGGACATCTTCGCTGACGGCTTAACCCTGCAGGTGGTGGCCAGACGGGCGGATTTGTGCAGGATCGCCACCGACGCGGTGGCTTTGCTCTGCGACACCCTGCTGGATCTCGGCCTCCCCGTGGCGAAGTCGAAGGCGTTTCTCACAGCGTCTGACGACTCCACCGCCCCCGCCGTGGCTCGGCTTCTACGGAGGTACGGTTTCCAGGCCAGGTCCTGGTTGGAGGTCTTGGGCCTTGAGGTTGCCGCCGGCAAGAGTGTTCGCGTTCGTGTGCTACGGGGTCGGGTCGGACGCGTTTCGAAGCGGGCCCGACACTTCAGGAGGCTGAGCCACCTCGGGGCGAAGTTCAGACAGGTTCCCAAGGCAGCAGTCGGCCCTGCTATTACCTACGGCTTGGGCATTTTGGGAGCTGGGCCGCACCTGATCAAGCGCATGACCCCCCTGGCGAAGCTGGGCTGGCAGGTCATTCCCTCGGGGGCTTCGCACTGGATCGCGTCGAGATTGGAAGAAGGCTCTGAGTTTCAGCCAGCGACGATTGCCATTGTTGGACCTGTTTTCAACTGGGCTTTGATGATTCAGTCGGGGGAAGTTGATCACTCCACGCTGCAGACGGCATGGCGCTCTCAGTTCTGGAAGGCGGCTTCTGTTGATTGGCGTGAGAGCTGGAAGCTGGTGGCTGGCCCAGCTGGTGCTTTTGCGCGGTCTGTGACGTACTTGGGCTGGACAGTTTCCTCAGCTTTTCGGGTCCGTACTCGTGATGGTGTTACTATGGACTTACGTGAGGTGGCCCCGTCTGGTGTCAAGTGGCTGGCGCTCAAGGACTTTGAGGTCGCGGGCTGGTACCAATGGGCTGCCAGGCCAGAGGTGATGCCAGAGCTCGATGGCCCGTCTCACAAGGACCCCGCGGGTGCGTGGTTGAGCCCCATACGTGCGTTGCTTCATCCTGGCCCCAGGGCCAAGCGTTGGGCATTGGATCCGCTGGCTCGGGCTGCGCTACGCACTGCGGTCGTGGGCGGCCACTTCACGCAGAAGCGGTTGCACCGATACGCTTACGTTCACTGCCCCGACTGCAGGAACTGCCCTGGGGTCGACGGAACGGCTCACCACAGGCATTGGCGATGCCACGTTTTTGATGACATGCGTGAGTATGCGGTCTCTGAGGCCCCCCTGGAGGCGGCAAGGAGGGCACCACCTGGGGACTTGCTCTACTCTCGTGGGCTGTACCCCAACTCCTTCCTGCCTGCCTTGCCACCCAGGAACGATTCTGGCGTCTGGTGCTATGCTCGTGGAGCTCGGGCTGAAGGACATTTTGTCGTCACGGGTTCGGTGTTCACTGACGGTTCGTGCAAGAAGTTGCTTCACTGGGACGCGGTTGACCGCGCGGGCTGGGGCTTCGTGGTCGTGGGAGATGCCCGTTACTACGGAGCTGTTTTGGGGCCGCTGCCTGGCCATCGCCAGACATCCGCTCGGGGCGAGCTGTTTGCCGTGATTCAGGCGCTGTCCGTCGGCGTGGCTCCGCCCCATATCTTCGCGGATTACACGCCGCTGCTAGAGGGGCTGGCGCGTGGCAAGCGCTGGTGCCTCAATCCGAGGCGTGGGAACGTGGATCGTTGGCGTCGCTTTTTCCACCAGCTGGAGGACCACGGAGGTTTTTCCATTGCTGGGGACTTGGAGTGCCCGATTCGGTTCTCATACGTCAAAGGCCACTCCAGTGAGGACTCGTGGCATCGCCGCTGCAACGATCTGGCAGATCAAGCGGCAAAGAGGGGTCGACAGCTGCACGACCCCCCTCAGGGCATTGTCGAGAGCTACACCGACTCGCTGAATACGGTCAGATCGGTCGCGACCTGGATTGCAAACGCCTCCAGGATGGTCTTCGACGGCACCGCGGCCCCCGACCGCGTGGACGCCCCACGGCGGCGGGACACGGAGCTGCGCGGCCGCTGGGCGCAGCTGGCGGCGGCAGGCGCTGGCGGCAGCGGCGCTGTGATTGAGCGCGGCGGTGCGGGATCGCCCACAGGCGAGCAGGCCTGCCCTCCTCAGCTCCTGCATCGCGTGCGGCTGAGGGGCAGGAAATATAGTTGTGATCGTTGCTCCGCTTACGCTGTGACTCCTAAAGGTGCTGCGAAGCTTAGAAGGGATCTTCGCAGGGTTGCGGGGGCGGCGGCCCTCTGGGGCCTGGAGGGTGTTTCGCCTGAGCCTTCCTCGGCTGCGGCCCCTGCTGGGCCAATGGGCCCTGGCGGGCCGAGCGGGAGCGTCTCGGGCCCCTCTGAGGCTAGCCCCTCATTGGAGCTTCGGGTTGTTGAAGCCCCAAGTGGGCCAGAGAGGTCGCCGCCCCTCGCGACTGAGGGCCTTGAGCGGTCCTTGGCCGTTATAAAGCGGGTGAGGTTTCGGGTGGATGGTGTGGGAGAGGATCAGCTGGATGCTGAGTTGGGGGAAGCGCGTCGGCGCGCCAAAGAGGCACGCTCCCTGGGCCCGCGAGAGCCCCCCCCACCACCCCCCCCCCCCCGCTCCTGCCAGGACGGCGAGGGACCGCAGGGTTGGTGGGCCCCTGGCGGGGCCGAGTCCGAAGGCGCCTCGGACGGGGGCTGCGCCCTCCGCGTCGTGCGTCGGTGGGCCTGCGGGCCCTGGCGAGCTTGCGGGGCCCCCGCCCTGCAAGCGCCCACGGACCTCTGGAGGTCCTGGTGGGCCTTCCTGGGTTGCGCGTGATGCCACCCGCCCTGAGGCCCCTCTCCCCGCTCAAGGCCTCGTTGGGCCCAGTAGTGCTAGAGGGCATCAAAGTAGTCTTGCTGGTGAGACCCTTGCATTCTGCCACCGCTGCGGCGCCAGGGCCCAGCCGTCGGCCCCTCGTTCTCGTTTGTGGGGCCAGTGTGAGGGAATTGCATCCAGCAAAGACGCCACTTATTTAAAGGCCCTGGTGGCAGGTAAAGACCCCCGCTCGGGCGAGTGGCGGGGCGAGCCCCGCCCTCTCTTCCCCACAGACGATGCCTGCTTCTGGCTTCGCCCGCGGTAGTCTGAGGCGGCGTCTCGGGCTGTCGTTCTTTCTTTAATCGTCGAGTTGCGCGCCCTCGGCCTTTGTCCTTCTCTGTTTCGCCTCTTTTCGCTCGCTCTGCGCACTCGTTTTGATATGGTCGTGCCTCCTCCTCCTCCTCCTCCTCCTCCTCCTCCTCCTCCTCCTCCTCCTCCTCCTCCTCCTCCTCCTCCTCATCAGGCGCGCGCGCGGGCGCAAAAGGTGTTCTGTCTTGTCGCTTCCTCGTCGCCGTCGCCACGGCCGACAGTTCGAGCCGAGGACGCCGCGCGGTACGGAACCGTCCATGGTCATCTTTCGGGGGTTGCGAAAGGTGCCCCTGGCCCAAGGTACCCCTAGCCTTTCGCTCAAGTTTGGAGCCCCTGGGCCTTCTGGGCCTCGTGATGGGGTGCTCTGGAGGCCGTGGGGGCCTCCTTGGAAATCCTGGGGGCACCTTGGGCC